TGTTGTATTTTTCATTTTTAAATTTTCATTTGATTCTCTTTTTTAAATATCTTCTGTTTCTTTGCTGAGATTTTCTAGTGTTCCATTTGTTTCAAGAGTACTCATAATTGCTTTTGGAGAATTTTTATGATCGTTCGTTTAAAATCTTTGTGAGATAATCCCAACACTCTTTGGGCTTAAGTATCTGTTGATTTTTTTTTTTTTTCTCATGAAAGATGAGATTTTTCCTGATTCTTGCTATGCCAAGAAATTTTGGATTGTATCTTAGAAATTCTGTGTGTTATGTTTTGAGACTCTGGTTCCTCTTTAAGTCCTCTATTTTAGCAGGCAGTCAACACATTTAGATTTAGGACACACATCCTGGCCCACTTTTGTGGGCTGTGGTTTAAATGTGAATTTGCCTTTTGAACCTTTGCAATGCTATTCTGGTCTGCCCCACTGTGTACTGCCGAGAGGCCAGTCTGCAGGCTCGGGGGTATTCCACGTGGTAGTTAATTCTCAAAGCTTTTGCTGCGTTGATTATGGTCAGTGTAAGGCTAGGCTCACTCAGAGATGAGTCTCTTTTTTCTGCTCCCTTCTCTCCATAATCATCTCCCAACTCTCTGGTTGGAAAGGGGCGGGGATGCTGCCTGTTTGCTGCTTAGTACTGGGTGAGCACTGTGGACAGGGCTCCTCCCCACTGTCTCTACTGCCACGACACCAGTGCCTGGGGAAAGGGGAGCCCCTCGGTGCAGAGTAAAGGGTGGTGATTGGGCTCCATCCCATAGACTCTGCAGCATGGGGGGCAGCGGGGCAGTGTTGTGTCTTTTATGGTATTTGCCTGCACTGGGACAGTTATGGTCATAAAGGCTCCATCCTGTAGAGCCATCCTCTTTCTGGTTCTTTGTTGAAACAGAGTAGGTTTTCCTTGGATCTTTCTTTTTTCTTTTTTCTTTTTTTTTTTTTTTTTCCTGTCTCTACCTGGTAGTGGTTCCAGGTTGTGAGTGTTCTAGCTCCCAGACCAGTCTCTATGGCAGGAGAACAAACAGAAAACTACCTCGAGGAGTTTGCTGCTGGGTTGTCCCTCAAGTCCTAAGTTCTCTAGCTAGTTTACCATCTTCTCTTCATCCTTCAGAGTCTACCAAGAGTTGCTTTATGATAGTCTTGTTTTAGAGTCTTCTGTTGTAATTAGCAGGAGGAATAGAGTGGAATGCACTTATTCATCCCTTAACTGGAACCAGAGATTCTTTTCTTAGGGCTTTGATTAATCCTATTATGTCTTTAAATGTACTTATTTTATAGTTTGTTTCTGACAATTCCACCACATGAACCTCTTGTGTTGTGCCATTTGTAGGGACAGCTGACTCCTGCATCTGGTATATGTTTCCTCGTGTGTTTCGTTAGTTTGGTTTTGTAAATCAAAGTAAGGCTTTCTCTGTGTCATGGATTAAGAGTATGTGCTTCCAAAAGTGTTTGGTATTTGCTCATATCCAGGGATTTATATAGGAAGTCTCAGTTTCAGCTACTGTAATCAAAATCATGTGGTTTTGGTGAAAGGATGGACACATAGAATAGTGAAACACCAAGTCCAGAAACTGACCTATATGTATACAGTTAGGTGATTTTTTGACAAAACTACAAAGTCAATTTGAAGAAAGAATAATCTTTTCAAAAGTTGTGCTGGATGGGGCACCTGGGTAAGCTCAGTCTGTTAAATGTCTGACTCTTGATTTAGGCTCAGGTCATGATCTTGGGATCTTGAGATCAAGCCCTGAGATGGGCTCCTTGCTCAATGGGGAGTCTGCTTAAGATTCTTTCTCTTTCCCTCTCCCTCTACCCCTCCCCCTGCTCATGCATCCACACTCACTCTCTCTCTCTCTCTCAAACAAATAAATAAATCTTTAAAAATAAAGTGGTGCTGGAGGGGCGCCTGGGTGGCTCAGTCGGTTAAGCCTCTGACTCTTGATTTTGGCTCAGGTTGTGATCTCAGGGTTGTGAGATTGAGCCCTAAGTTGGGCTCTGTGCTCAGTGGGGGTCTGCTTCTCTCCCTCTCTCTCTCCTTCTGCCCCTCCCGCTGCTTGTGCTCTCTCTCTAAAAGAAATAAATCTTTTTTTTTTTAAAGAGCTAAACATTAGCTACCACCCAATTTAGCAATCCCACTCTTAAGCATTTGCCCAAGAGAAGTGAAAACTTATGTTAACACAAAAATCTTTACGTGAATATTTGTAGCAGTTTTATTTATAATTGCCTCAAACTGGAAATAATCCAAATATCCTTCAACTGGAGAATGTATAAGCATATTGTGGTACATCCATATTAAATAATGAAAAGGAGCAAACTACTGATACATGTAACAACATGGACGAATCTCAGATACATACTGTCAAGCAATAGAAGTCAAACTCAAAAGGCTGCAATCTATTATGAAAAAGGCAAAAGTACAGGAAAGCAAAATAGGCCTGGAGGTAAGGATTGACTTCAAAAGGGTATGGGAGACTATTAGGGAGGATGGAATTGTTATTATTATTATTTTTTAAATTAATTTAAGGGGTTCCTGGGTGGCTCAGTCTGTTGAGTGTCCAGCTCTTGATCTCAGCTCAGGTCTAGATCCCAGGGTTGTGGGATCAAGCCCTGTGTTGGGTTCCATGCTGGGCGTGGAGCCTTCTTAAAAAAATTAATTTCGGTATAGTTGGCCTGCAATGTTACATAAGTTTCATGAAGGAGAGGCTCGAGGATGATGTGGGAGAAGCTGGTTTGAATGTGTGGTGGGATTTTAGTTTGTTGAGGGATTGCATGAGCACAGCTGTAGAGGCATGTAACTGACAGGGAAGCAGCTGGACTTTGCTGCAGGAGATGCGATCTGGAGTAGATGGGTAAGCCTCAGAGGCCTTCTCTTTGAGTTTTTAGAGGCTGAGTTCTGAGCCTGATGGATTTCCTGAGAGTAATGGTTCCTTGTATGTCAACTTGACTGGGCTGCAGAGTGCCCAGACTAAACATGATTTCTGGGTGTGTCTGGGTGGGTGTTTCTGGATGAGATTAACATTTTTGAACCTATGGACTCAGTCAAGTAGACTGACTCCCCCATGTGGTTGGGCATCATCCAATCCATTGAGGGCCTGAATAGAACAAAAAGGTGAAGGAAGAATTTGCTCCTTTTGCTTTCTGCCTATGTGCCTAAGCTGGGACACTGATCTTCTGCTCTTGGACTGGGGTTTATACCATTGGCTCCCTTGGTTTTCAAGCCTTTGGATTAGAATTACACCACTGGTTTTTCCACATCTCTGGCTTGCAAATGGCAGATTATGGGACTTCCCAGCCTCCATAGTCATGTGAGCCATTTCCTCATAATAAATCTCTTCCTGTGTATATAATATTCTACTGGTTCTCTTTCTCTCTGGGGAACCCTGACTGATACATTGGGTCAAGAAGTGTGAGAGATATGGTCTAGGAACCTAAAGATCCAGCTTCTGTCTTCTATCCTTAACCCAGACCACTCAGGATGCCCATAGGGAATGCAAAACGAGGGACATAATGAGAAAAGCACTCAAAGCAATAAACATGTCTAGATTTAGTGAGAACTGCCACCTGCCAAAGTCATACATTTAATAAGAATTCTAATTTGTAGCATGTATCACTCTAATTTAGGGGTCACTATGTATACAGAACCATTACCAACCACCATGATTATGATTGGGTCAAATAGGAAAAGGTAACAGGTTCAGTTTGCATATCTTAAAATGAATGTACACTTGAAGAACAATTCCTTGTTTTGTGCACACACAGGTCACTCTGGTCTCTTAACAGTTTAACTTCTACATCTCTATGTATGTGTTTTTACTACCATCTCAACTTGTCCTTCCCTGAACAGAGCCACTTCTTTCCTTTTAGGCACACTGGAATTGGTAACTTGCCCCCAGTAAGGCTCCTAATCTCTTCTTCACCCTGACAGCACTTAAAATACTGGACAATGATTACGGATTTGTGCATGCATGCATGTGTGTGCTGAAGATCCTTCCTTCCCCTTCCTCTAAGAATTTGGTTTCTTATAAAATTTGCATTTGTCACCATTCTGATCACCCAGGCAGAATCCAGCTCTCATATACAAAATATAGTTGGAAGCTTATAGCCAATCACCTAGACTAATCCAAGCCAGCATCCCACTGGGATGTAACAGTCATCTGTATCTTTTGAGTTTACAGTCAACTACCTCAGTGTAAAAGCAGGGAAGTTTCTTGGAGAAACCTGGAGAGTGCTTCAAAATTTGAGTTCAGCCTTCTCCCTAACCTCCTTCCCCTCTCCAAGCTGTGGAGGTATCATATAGTAAGGGCCAGCCAGCATTTTATGTTATGCTAAGATGAAATCCAGGTTCAAGGTAGCTGCTGTGAGATCTAACAAGTTAGTATCTTAGTTTCAATTACATTTAGGGGAGGGGTAGAGAGATGTTACATTTTGCTTTAAACAAGAACTCTTTAAGTCCCCATCAGAAACTATTTGTTGTTCCTAGGATACTGAGGACATAGCAATGTCCATGGACATGGTTTACTGCAGGCTTCAAAGTTTATCCAGAATTATTTAATGCAATTGCTGTCCTGTTTCTGATTCCCCACTCCCCAAGTTATGAATCCTAATCTCTTATTTAAAAACTTAAAAATATATATATATTAGACATTGTGTCTTTTAATACAAGGCACTGGAAATCCTTTTTGGACAGAAGGTCTGTGTCCTAAAAAATATCCCAAGAACTCACTTAGGTTAAGTGTGTGGATTCAGGGTGGGTTGTCTACAAGTCTATGGTTTGTGGCTTAGAAGACTTCCGGCTGCTGTTATCCAAAACCCAGGGACATAACTTCAAGGCTAAGTTAGCTCATTTCGTGCATCTGCCAGTTTATTTTTCTTTCCCCCCATCAACAATTGCCTATCAGTGATTCACTTTGCAATTTCTAAGTACTGTCTCTTACATGTTACATTGCTAAGTTTTGCTCCTAGTGATCACTGCATATATAGTAATCACATGATCACACTTAATATTCTGATGGTTTTATTAACAAGTATATAATACATATATTGCATACTGTATATAGTATATGAGGACTGTACAGTACAAATTTATGTTCACAGTTTGACATGACAAAATGTCATTACTGAATTCCCATTGGACTACAGAGTAGAAACAGAGAAGGTACATTAAACATTCACATCTTTAGTAAGAAAGATTACCAAAATGTTTCAGTATTTGCAAGTATACTAATGCATGCTAAAAACCTTTACCCATTCAGTCTTATTAGCTTATAAAATATATTACACTTTATTAAAAATTTCTGCATAGTTTATACAAGTATTAAAGTACTGTAAATGTAATAATCCTGCTATACTTGCAGGTATGGTTTAAGAGATGCTAAGCAGAAAGATTATTTTGACCCTCTAACACTAAGTACATAACAGCAAAAAAAAAAAAAAAGTGCTAGTATTTGTAAAACGTAATATTGTTGTAGCCCTCGTTTAATGCATGTAAAATGGCTTTGTAAATGTATTAAGTGAATTTGCGATCATTTAGAAATTGTTAACTTCGACCGAGAAGAGAATAAAGACAACTCTGAGCAACTTCATGTATAACAGCAATTCCTTCAAGATGACTGTATATTTTCAAACCAAATTATTTTCAAACCTTAGATCTTTGAGATTGTCTTTAAAACAATCTAATCAGGAATGACGTGCAGATAGATATACAGTATCAGCAATAAAGTCTTTCAAATTCCACATTAGTGCAACACTGATAGTGCAGATGGGTGTTTAATAAAATATACATCTATAGTTCCCCTATAAATCTGTTCCAAGGCTCTTCAAACTTCCGTGTAGTTAGCATTTCCTTGGTTGAACATAGCTATGCTGCTAACATTCTCCACACCGGATGATTTAGAATGTTAATGCCCATTTATGATGTAAATTCACATTTCAGAACTCTAAAATATGATGCATTCAGCCTTAATTTTTCTGACTTCCCCAAGATGACACCTGGACAATAATCAGAAGAAACTCTATAACAGAATTTATACAACACTAACTTCATGTTTACAAATCATTCTCATCAATGTAAAATATGGCAATTTAAAACCACCATTGATAGTAACATGGCACATCATTAAAACCACATGTTCAAGGGCATCTATCTTGTATTTGAGGTCTTCCACAATAACAGCTAAAAATGTCTAAGAGACTAAATTTCTCAACTATCATAGTAAAATACAAATATATATAAAAAAGGAAAATTTGGTCAAGAGCCAATCAGTCAACTAAAGTATATAGGCCAGTAATGGGAACAGAGAAAGGCCTCTCTGGGTTGCCTTTCTTTCCGAGTTAAAATGGATCTTTGTTAATGAATGGTTAACATAACCTAGGCAAGCTGAATAGTAATGGAATACTCTTTGCAGGGTCTTGCTTGCTCTTTTGAACAAAATTTAAATATGCCGTGACAAACACCTCAAATTTCATGAGAACCTACGAAGCTTTCTATCAACTGGACTCACACTCAAAGCTAATTATTCAAAGATGACCAGTCTACCCTTTCTTGCCTTTTTCCCCTACCTTCTCTATGGGTTGGAACACACACATACTGGTCATCTCCATTAAAACAAAAAAGTTCCTTGCATCCCAACTTGATTCTTCAGTGTGTTGCGAAAGAACCACTTCTAGAAATAAACACTTTGGCATGAATGTGACTAAGCATTTACAGTACAGACAATACCTACTTTCCCAAGAGCCATTTTTATCCCTCAATTCATGTCATAGTTGCAAAAACACAGACAAAAAAAGCCCAATTAGGAGGTTTTAATATTCTAAACAAATTTTGCAGTGCTTACACACAAAAAAAAAAAAAAGAAAGAAAGAAAATCGAAACCAAGTGCCAAGAAGGTAACAAATGACTTTGCATTTCTCAACTACATTTCCTTTCAGCTGGTTCAGAGGGCTGACGAGTGGGATCTCTTAGGTGCACAGTCCCTACAACTAACTTTTATTAACAGCGCCATCAAAGTAAGCTCCCCACACGATTTGCAGGCCTCCACAATCACACATTCACTGATGTTTTAAAAACAATTGAACAATGTATTCCTCCCAGTTAAGGTTGTGTTGGATCCTGAGTTGCGGCTGGGATGAATCTTCAGGATTCCATTCTTCTCTCTTCTCTTCCGTCCTTTATCGAGGGATGAAGGCGCATTTGGTTATATGCACCCACATTTGACCACCGTCACCCACTTTCTTCAAATTTAGAACCAATGACATTTCTATGCATGAATTATTTTTATTGGCATTTAGACTATGGTGCTCAAAAGCCAGCTTTTGAAAAACAAAAACTAAACACAAAACTTCCCCCGAATAATGGCGCTATTTATCTTTAACATAAACACGAGTCATTTTCAGCTTCTTCTGAGGGGATACTTGATAGTGATCAATTTCCAGCTCTTTAAAACAGTAAATGTTGGGGAATTCTGGAACTCTAAAGATATAAATCCCTGAACTGTGGTTTTCTGTTTTTTGTTTTTGTTTTTGTTTTATTTTGTTTTGTTTTTCAGAAATCTGTCCCCCGAATGAAGGTATCTGTGCTTCACAACTAGTTATATTTACATATCTTGTCACTCAGGTCTGACATTGAATGCATCCACTAAAGCATTAGCAGATACTTACGGTATGCATCACAAACACAAATGACAGCCCACTTGGCACCCTATGGTTCACACAGAAGAGTTTCTGTATAAAAGCTGTATGAGTAATTTGATATGGGAATACAATTACCCCTCAACGTTTCTCTGTTTGCAAAGAAAAAAAGCTGTTAAGTAGGTTGGGTAAAAGGCCACCCATATTCTTACCCAAAAGATTTTTTTTTTTTTTTTTTTTTTTTACCATTACTGGGCAAAATATTGTTGTGATGTCCCAACAGTCAATGCTCGATGACCCACGTTAAGGACATTGGAGGAATGGTGACAGGGGCAGGGATAACTCCATCCATTTTCGGCTTTGCTGTATGCTTCTGCACAGTTGAGCATAGAGACTGAAGCTCTGGGGATGCCTTGCGCAGCGAACCCTATGATGAAACCTCACCGGAGAGCCCTCGCCTAGGAGGAAGGGCCGGCTTCTTCCCTCCCCCCCACACTTCTCCCCTGCGCCATGCCCCTTTGTTGACTCCGTGCTGGGCAAGGAGAGCATTCAGCCCTTCACTGACAGACATCACCCGCCTAAATCAGCAGCTCTGGCTCAGCTCCAGGGGTGGCAAAGACCTCCTTGTTAGCTGCAGGCCCAAAGGAGTATCGAGGACTTAATTTAGAGGACGTGATAAATCCGAGTTGACAAGCAGGATTTGTGAAGGGCAATTGAAGGGAAGAAGAGTGGATGGACGGTCCTACCTGAAATCTCGCTCCATGTCTACCTAGCTTGGGAGAGGGTCCACCCTTCTTGCTGGCAAGCACAAAATACGATCCCAGGGCACAGAGGTATGAACGTCCCTGGCAAGGACTTGCAGGCTGGATACTGTATTTCTAATACATTTACTTTGACATTCTTTTGAGAAATACATGGAGAAACCGACAATTGGTTATTTTAAGTTTACATGTTCCCTTGTTCTCATTACATTAAACGTATCTGTAAGAAGGGTTTGCTTAGCATCCCCGGAAAAAAAAAAAAAAAAAAAAAGTGTTCACATTCTTTAGGTCTGACCCGTGGTAAGGAGAGGAGGATTAGAGAACATCTACTACTGACCATATGGAAGTTTGAATGATATAAATTCAGAGATTCAGACCAGCTGAATCCAAATTAAAATGTACATGTAAAAAATGAGTTAGATCATGGGAAGGAGGACAGAGAGAGAGCCGGGAGAGTGGGGAACCACGCTGAGGCGGGGGACGGAGCCATTCAAACTAGCATGTGGCGTTTCCTATGGAGGGCAAGGTGGTCAGAGCGGGAGAAGCTGCGGTCACAGTCTGGACACTGGAAAGGTTTGATTCCAGTATGTTTTCGGAAATGTCTTGTCAGTTCATCAGACCGAGCAAACTTCCATGTGCATCCTTCCCATGTACATTTGTAGGGTTTTTCTCCTGCAAAAAGGAAAAACGGAAGAGCTTATATTTTTCCTGAGGGCGAAAGGCTATTCATTAGTAAAAATTTTGCAGTTAAGATTTTTGAGCTACAGCTCTGGGCAAATATTATTTCTAAGGTATGTCCGTTTGTTTGTTCCCCCCAAAAACCAAGAGTGCCATAGAAACCACAGAAGGACAAAAAAGAAAACAAGTGGCTTAATTCTCTTAATATTTAACTGGAACTCTGCCACTCCGGCCACTCTGGCCGCAGCCCCCCCACTGCCAAAAGAAGATTTAGTTCTTAAAGCATAAAGCCACTAAAATCCATCCTGAGGAGCTAGCAAATAATTTTGGTTTCACCCTCAATAATAGGGATGAATCACTTAAGAAACAACTTGTGATCTGTATTTATCTCCAAGTCTTCGAGCTACTGAGGTGAGTTATACGCAGTGTTTTCCACTTAAAGAGGAGTCCAAATTGAAAGTTTGTGGGATTTCCTTATTATTTTAACAGTTCCCTAAAAATAAGAAGTGTGACAGACACTGGCAGGGATTTCAGCATCTTATCTCAGCAATTATGCCTAAGTATAATGCTCTAATTGAGACATACTAAAAATACAGTAATTCCTCCCCAGCCTGTCAGAAGCCAGGTCTCTCCACCCCCCTGCTGTGGGATAATGGTAGCTGGCAGGTGAGGAACAGGAGACCCTTGGGGGGAAATCATAGGGAGGAGCCAGCATGAAGGCCCTTACAAATAAAAAGGCTGTTAGTGGTAATCTTACATGTTTTTATGAGTCATCGTGGGCAAATGGGCCTCACAAATCAATTCCCACTTACTATCCCTTATTCTCTAGAAATTTTAAGGATTGACATTTCGAGGAGCTCTTCAGAACTGTCTTATCTGCTCTGCTTCAGAGAATATAAATGCTGAGGTATTTTTCCTGCATCCAAATTGTTATTCAAATAGCCAATGTCCTTGTAATCTTGGGCTGGAAGTTGGTAACATCCACCTCTCAGGTCGCATTAATGCCCTGGGGATGCTTTTACTGGTTGGTTTCCTTGGCATCTCAGACTGGACATTCCTCTAAACACAAGGCCCCCCTCCTCAGTTCCCTCTGTAAGAACACTGTGACCAAGCCCAAGAACTCAGTTGTCCGCAAGCTGACTTTCCCTCTCCCCGAGTCACTGAGAAACTTGACACTCCACACCACCACTTTCCTTCCCATTTCTCTTCCAAATCCCAAATTTTCCTTGTTGTAAACATTCCTAATACGAATGACTCATAAGGCTCAAAAACAAACAAACAAACAAACAAACAAATGACATTCTGACTGAAGGAAGATGGGCCCAGGGAACAACTGCCGTTGTACTAGAATTTCACATCGAAGGGTTTGAGGTTAGGTCAGATGAGGCCTGCTGTCAACAAGGATCACCCATACTGACTGATGAATCAGGCTGTGGACAACATTTCTGTACGGGTTCCTGAAGCTATCTTGCTCATGAAATGTTCAAGGGCAAATGGAACAGTTTTATGTTTTCTTCACCTGTATCATCATTTTTGGAAGATCTGGCTGCATGCTCTGTATTCAATCCTGGGCAGAATAAATAATACCCCAGAACAAACAGGACAGGCAAGAGCACAGAAGTTCCCTCCGTTTTAGAAGACACGAATCACCCAAATATCTTTACTTTTCTGTATTTGTTCTGCGTAAAGAACTGTGGGGTTTTCTCTTTTTTTTTTGCCACTGTGAATTTGATAATGTACCACATTTACTAAATGATGGTCCACACGAAGGCCGCCTCCTTGATGAAGCGGGCCCATGGCTAAGAGCACTTTTCCTCCGTTCCAGCAGCCTTTCCAACCCTCCCTCTCCCCTCCTGCAACACAGAGTACAGAACTCCACATGACTGGATGGGGGGGGGGGCTTGAATCCATTCTAACTCATTACAAAAATAAATCTTGACCCAAAAAAGTGCGTTTTTCACGACCAGCAGACAGATCTGTAGACAGCTCTGCTCCCTTTCAAGGTGCCTGGACCGTGTCCTTATCATCACCTTTGAAAGTTCGACTGTTTGTCCCTAACATTCCATCGCCCTGTTTCTTAAGAGAAGAGTGCGCGCGCCTTGTAGTTCTGATACCTGTGTGTGTTCTTCTGTGGGCTTTCAAGTGAGAGCTCTTAGTGTACACCTTGTTGCATCCGTCATAGTCGCATCTGTGGATCCTGCGCTTCCTTTGGGTGTCCGGAGATTCCACAGGTAAAGGTCTCTTTCCTGGTTGCACTATGACCGACGGGTGATTCCTAGGAAAGCCAACGCGAAATGTAAAATATCGGGGGAGAGGCTCTTTCCTTTCCTTCAGTCTACCAAAGGCATTAACAACACTAGGCAAAACCAAACAAAACCAAAAAACCCAACAAAATAAACAAAAAGAAATTAGCTGATCAACCCAAGAAGCACTGCTATATTCATTCAACAAACATGGAGCGAGCACCTACCATGAGCCAGGCACTGTGCTTGGCACCGGGACACAAAGATGAATAAAAACAGGGTTCCTGCCCTCGAGGAGCTCACACTCTAGGGGGAGACAGACATGTAGATAAGTAATGACAGTAAGAAGGGTTAGGTGCTATGCTAGAGGGAGATGCAGGTGCTAGGAGAGGCTCTTGCCCTCGGTTAAAATTTGCCTATTTATAGAATCTCGTGGTAGGAGAGCAATGCTCAGTACGGTTCCAATGTCTTCCCACAGCTTGCCCTGATGGTCATTTATTGCTCTGTAGGGAAGAATGCAAAAGGTCAAATTCCTACAGCTCAGGCCAACCCCACTCGTTATCTACATTTTATCCTTTACATAATTGGCAATGAGCTTCTCTTAAAGATCACCAATTCACATTTGAGCTTCCACTTCTGGCTCTTCTGAACTAACTACATAAACAAATAATGGCACTGCTGTTTTCAAACCTCAAACCTTTACGGTTGCTGTTTTTCCTGCGTGAGGGAGAATTCTGGCGCAGTGCTGGCTTTCGGGGGCACCTGGCGTCTCCCTGCCTTCCTGTCCGCTCACCCAGACCCGTTCCTGCGTCGGCACACCTTTCCAGGGTGGCTTTGAAATCCAATCATGTCAAACACCGTTGCTCTAAACTTTCTCTTTTTCAGAAGGAGAGAAGAGGCAGATGGGGGGGAAGAGCTGGGCAAAGTCTGTAAAGCTTTCTCGGGCTTCCTCCGCTGATTAATGTCAGTAATTAAAAAATTCTAATCTGTTCATTTGCTTTCCTAACGACTAATTACTTGATACATCACAAGCTTATGGAACTGGCCTCTGACGGTAATGAAAGACTTCTTTGTCTTTTAAATTGGAATCTAAAGTTCTTACAATGTTCCAAATAATATACGAATTTTTCTGTACAAATATGGATGAGGAGAAAGGGAATCTGATGAAGGCAAACACTCAAGCTTAGGAGATAAAAAAGGATAATAAAATTTCACCATAAAAATCAAAAGGGGGCCCCTGAAATGAAACTTGTTTTGATCTTGGTAAAAATCTCAATACATGTCCCCCATCAGGAACTCTTCCAGGCATGCTAACTAACTAGGAAAAGAATAAAAGGTGCATTGATTTTAAGTGACTGTACTTATTTCTCACTTCTATTATCAGCAAAGGAAAATGGCAGTTCTGACTCTCACTTTACCTTCCTACCTTAATGTTGAGCGGGGCAATACAGAAGAATAAAGTAGCCAAGTTTAGATGGAAAAGTGAACATGGAAGGGTGGGAACAAGGACTTCACTTATATGTATGTACAAACAGAGAGAAAATAGAAAAGTGACAATCTGTGGACACATACAGTTTTTAGAGAGCTGAATTATTAATTTAAAAATCCTTCCACAGAAAGAAAAGAGTTCTCAGCTTATTTTTAACTTTCAACCTTAACGCCATTGATTGAAATGTTTCATCTTTATTAAGAGAACTTCAGGAAATAAAATGCTGAGGGGAAAAAAAACCGAATGGTTAAATACATCTCCTCTGCCTCTGGGATACTGGGGGAGTATCCCAGGTGATTTTAGAAATTTCTCCCAGTTATTAGACTTCATGGGTTGGGAATCTGATAGTTTCCGTGCGGTAGTTATGACTGCTTTTCCCAGCTCCTTTTGCATATAAAGGTACGTTAAAAGGCTGTGTGCCCCAACGTCAAATCCCAGCTCTGTCACTCGCAGTCCGTGGGACCCTGGGCAAGGGATTTATCCTCTCTGCGCCTCCATTTCCTCTGTACAATGGGGATGATGGTAATAGTATGACCTCAGGAGGTTGTGAGTAATGTACACAGAGCACTGCAGTAAAACATGTGTTCCAGATGTCAATCTACTAAATGGTAGCTGTCAGTATTTTGAGGTTCAGAAGCCCATTTGCAAACTTTGCCCCTACAGCTGTTTAATTTCATGAGGAGCTTTTTGGGGGATGTCCCAACACCAGGAAAGGAAATCACTATTCAAGCCAATGTCTACCTTGACAGGTAGCATCATTCTGAGAGTGGTTGGCGGTCCCATCTCTAAAGAGCCAGATGCTGGCACAGGCAGCAGCTGGATGGCGGGGTCCCAAGATCTCCCCCTTTCTGGACTCTCCACTGCTCATTTTCAGAGAGGCTGTTTGGGATCATTACAACCAAGAAGTTAGAATAGCTATTAAATATCAGATACCTGGTCATTGTTTTGAGTTAAGCCAGCCCCTCGTTAAGTTTACTATAATTCACAGACACAATTAAATGGGGAGAGCTGATCCTCAAGCTCTTTGTTCTAAATACATTTCACATGTGTAAATATAAAAACAAAAAAGGAGGAGGAATCTGATAGACATTTGAGTGCCTTTAAAAATAATCCTAAAGCTGTAACTCTTATGTTCAAGCAAATGGATTTCAAAGCTGTATTTTAAAGTCCGCCTTTGGAAAGGACGGGTTTCTGGAAGGCGAATGATTATTAGGACTGCCTCATCGCAATGGTACTAGGTGCTTGGTTTCAATCGATTCTTTCCTGGCTAGCTGGTTTCCTATGTGGGCTGCTACTGGGCACATTCCAAGACATTACTTAATCACATCTGGGAGAGAATTACTTAAAAGAATACATGTCCCAGTTGTGGCTAATCTGTTGCATTTTTTGAGGAGCAAAATGCATTCTTAGGTCAGCATTAAAATAAGCCTATTACTCATTAATCATTAAAAGCCACTGAGCTTGAGATCACCAAAAGAACATCACTTAAGGTAAGCAAAAAGCATTTTCTTTTCAGCAGCATTTAGGACACAGAATATTGCTTTCAAATATCCTTCTATTGTGGTTTACATTGTAATTCATAACCTCGACTTTGGAATAACCCTTTTTTGGTCCAGGGATCATCCCTCTCTCTGCGGGCACTTTGCTTTATTTAGCTGCACAGCATCTCATCCATCAGCTGAGCAGGAACAATGACAAGTGCAAGTCATGTTGCCATTCACCTTGCCAGAGACACCCGGCATCATAAAAGAGGGAACTCAGCCTACAAGGTGTGTCTATTTTGGCTGGTCTTTCTGCGTCTCCTTTCACCCGAGAGAGGAGTGGGAAGCACTGGTCAGACAGGGACGTGGCAGGAAGAGCCCTCACTGGGTGGCAGGGGATCAAGCCTGGGCCCCACTGCTAGGCGAGTTATCTAATGTCTTGGCTCACCCGTCTCCATTTGCTCCGACTCCCACATGCTTGTTGTGGGGGAATGAAATAAATCCTTTGAAAACATGTGAGGAAGTCTCATTGGAGGTTGGAGGGGGGGCACATTATGCAACCGTGAAAGGTAATAATGTATGAGTTTATCCGACACTCTCTCCCTGCTGATGTGGCTACTCGTAGGATTCTTTCTCTTCTTCATCTCTCAGGGAGTGAAGACAACCCTTCCCCCCAAACACCTGACTAGGACTTGGTGCAATGGGCACTTAACATGACCTACTATGAAGGCACCCACTTGGGTTGAATGTGTATAGAATTAGAATGTATTTTAAGTTCCAGAAAATAGTGGTTCGAAAGCCAGAGAATGCACACTCTGTTGCAGAATGACTTCGGTAAGGGAGGGGGGAAAAGATGAAGCAGAAAGGTGGGCAGAACTCTGTTTCAAGTTGGAACAAAGTGCTATGGGAGAAAGATGATGGAAGAGACCTGGAGGGGACAGTAACTATTACCTTATACCAGGACGCTGGCCATAGCAGCCAACCTTGAAAGTGCCACAACACAAGACCATTACAAGAAAAATAATGACAACCAATAATGAAAATAAAGAGGACACAGAGGCAGCAAGATTGACTAGGCCAAGGTCATACTTAGGGTGGAGGGCAGAGCTGGGATCCAAGATGTCCGACCCAAAGGTCACCTTCTGAGCTCCTCCAAACACAGTCTCCAGTAGAAAGCAAGGCTTTCTATTGTAGCAAATCCCATCAGTGATGCTATTTAACTTGTATATGACACCTGTCACATTATGGCAAGTCAGACCTAAAACAAACCACTGTCCCGTGTTTGGATGTAGGTCAATACAGAAACCTTCCTCCTGATTGGCAGTTCTAAAGCGAACTGAATATTCTAAGGGCAGATGTGATGAAAGAGACCAGAGAATAATGGGTTATTCCAACACTGAACTTCTCTGAGCTACATGGACTACTTTCTGTTGCCACCACTATTTACAGGTCTTTCTTGGACTGACTTCCTTGGGCTCATGGCTGGCCTGAAAATTCTGATTCAAGACATTCCCCATCACAGAAACAGTATTAGAGGTGACAACTGCAAGGACGAGGTGTGTCTTATAAAGTTTTAAATGATCCAACCTTACGCAGGATATCTAGAATACCAAATTCAATCCATATTGGGATTAAGATTATGGGAAAACTATGTATAGTCTGGGAGGATAAAACAAAAACACCCAAAAAAATACTGAGATAAAAATGATTTATGTGACAAGTGGCAAATCCTGAGTGATCAATTTGCTGCCAACTTGACATAGATGTCATAATGCAATTGATATAGCAGAACACATTGCCCTTGGAGAGATTTCCCCATCTTTCCCAGGGGCTGCCACCTACTGCAAGGTGTTCCTGGCAATCCACACCACGCCATGAGTTGGAAGTGTGTGCTTCCAATCCAGGTCCCAAGATCCGCGCTGCTACGCAAATGTCCGATAGATCTGAACATACTTACTCTTGCAACAGTGCTTGCGGGGGGGACACTGAGTTCATTAAAGGGGGTGACATTTCTTCAGGATAATAATCTGTCCTCTGTGGTTCAATCCCCGGTTCTATTTTAATTTTTTTCTGTAATATAGGCTTCTCATATGATTCAATTACAGGTACTAAAAAATAAAAATAGAAAAGTCACTCCATGTACAATTTACCAATTTCAGCTTTTAAAAAGTTTATTGTACAGCTTCTATCTACAACACTGATGTGTGGAGTATTTGTTTGCCTTTGGCAAAATTATAGCAGAAAGGAAATCGGGTGGGGGGGTGCTCTCGTTTCCCCCGACCACTACTCTGCCAGCAAGCAGCATGCATATGAAGCTGGCCCCGAGCGCCGCGCGCGCCACGCGCTGGTGCAGACCCCGAGCGCCGCCGCGCCACAACAGCGGCCGTGGCATTTACCTTGCATGCTGCTATTTGAGTTCTCCATCTCCTCCGACAAGGAGACCATGAGCGGCTGCTGGAGGTGGCTGGTGTACATGAAGGGGACCGGCTGCACCACGACGGGCTGGATAACGGGCAGTATCCCGGGGCTGCGGATGCCGTGGCGGGACAGGGCGGCGGCCATCACCGGGGGCATGGACAGCGGCACGCCGAAGGGCTGCACGCCCGGGGGAGGCGGCGAGTACTTCTTCATGGGCGGGCTGGAAGAGGGCATGCTCAGGCCGGGCGAGGCTCTTCGGTGCGAGGGCTGGAACTTCAGCGAGGAAGGAGAATTGCCTGCAGAGGGCGGGGAACTGCGCTTGTTCACGGTCAGGTCCACCGGCTCCATCTGCATCCCGTGCGACAGGCCCTCCGGGGTCTGGAAGAACTTATCCGGTAACGGTGTGGAGTAGATGACGCCGTACTTGTTGGGCTTCATCGACTCCATGTAATTGGATGGGTAGGACTATCGGGAAGGAAAAACAGAAACGTCCAAGCCATGACACATGTGCATTCCCTTGGGAAACGTGAATGAAAATGAAAATGTACTACAAGGCCCTCTCAATTAGGTGGGCTCAATAAGCGGCTTACATTTAGATGTCTAGTGACCCTAAAAGAAATGCTATGAGGGGGCTGGTCTAATAAACGTTAAGGTTAATGGGATAACTGTGTCCCACGAAAAATCTCAAATTGAATTCTAAGATGATTCCCACATCAAACGTTAAGGTTGAGGTTGATACTGGGCAAAAATTCTAAATAAAACAGGTCATAAACAGAAGACTTATTATGGGCCTTGATTGGTAGGAGTCAGTGTCGGGGTTCACCAACAGCCAGCCAAGCCAACGAACCCTGATGCTTTGCTGATGGGGCTTCTCAGTCGGCAGGAAATCTTTCCCCTCAGCAGCAGGACGTGTGCAGTTCTCACCATACGCTTACAATTATGTCCCTGACCCCAGCTTGTTCAATGGTCTTGGTCACAGTCTGAATGAAACTGTAGAAGGTGACTTGATGTCCAAATTTGCACATGACACAGAACTGTAAGAGATAGCTAAGAGGACTCAAATAAGGACACACGGTGCTTGAAGCGACTTGCACACAAACTGGGGCCCGGTGTTTCCTCCAAACCTAAGATCTGACAATTGACCTAATTTCTTTAAATACGTTCCTCTTTTGTAGTATCAAAATAATGGACTACTACCAGCTTTAAATATAAAAGTCATAATCACTGCACACTATGGGTGCGGTCCTTGGCCATGGAATTCACTAGAATGACTTCCATCCTTAACTAAAATTGGAAAGAAAAACTTTGTTGTAGGATGCTTTTAAAAAAAATAAACCCAACATAAGCTATTTTCTTTACTCGTAGGTATTTTAGGGAAACTGAAACTTTAAGTGGTAACATGTCAAGTCCATCTGCAGAATACTACTTGTTTTTTTTTTTTTAATATTTATTTATTTATTTATCAGAGAGAGAGAGAGAAGGAACACAAGCAGGGCGAGTGGGAGAGGGAGAAGCAGACTCCCCGTTGAGCAGGGAGCCCGATGTGGGACTCGATCCCAGGACCCTGAGATCGTGACCTGAGCCGAAGGCAGACGCTCAACCAACTGAGCCACCCAGGAGTCCCTGCAGAATACTACTTGTATTGGAATACTTTATACTGAAAGTGATAAGCACCATACTATGCCTCTCTTCCAGCACTCAAATCCGATGCAGTTCTCATTCTGAGGCAATACTAGCTCATGATACAACCAAGAAAACCCACCAATGGGGCCTTATCATTAAAGAGCTTAAATACATGATAAATTTCTGAGCCCGCCCCAGTCCCCCAAGTGGCCACTATTGTGAGTTATAAATGACTGCGGGACAACAGTGGTTTTTACCGGGATTGCTACGGAGATCATACCCTTCCTTCTCTGGGCCTCCACTAGGTGAAATCTCCACCTGCCTATGCATCTCCTGTGTTGTTTTTGAAAACTCCCTTCTCTGGGCATATCAGGCATAAGGATCAGGGAATATGGGGGGTATGGGACCAGGCAGTATTTATCTTTATCTGCTTTTGAAGTCAGTTTCTTATCGTTAAGATTGTGTGTTCTGTTCTTTCTCCTTTCTTTATCCCTGTCAACGCAATCTCTATGGTCTCCAAGAACAGTGACTCCTGCAGTAGGGGGCACCAAAGATACTTCTAGATAGTACGCAAAGAACACACAGAGCTTTAAAACAGTCATGTGTTTATTTAAATGCGTTAAGAAACACTTTTTTTTTTTAACAGTAGTGATACAAATATCCTTTTCAAAATAAATTTATTACGTTAATAAAAGCAATTCTACAAAAGAGGGCAGGACAAATTATTCACTAAATATTAGAAGTGCAGGTGCCATGAAGATAGGGCAAAATTTGTCAAGGTGATATTGAAAACCCACATTCTAGGAGGCCATGAAGTTAAAAGTAAAATTGAATTCACTGAGATAAGCTATGTATTGAGCTTAACATACTCTGTGGTGCTAGAAGTCCCTTCTTTTTCTAGACAAGTAGCAGCGCTGTAATGGGTTTGATCCAATCAGGGCTTCTCAAACTTCACTGTGCACCAATGCACCTGACCCATCTTGCCAAAATGCAGATTCTGAGTTTCTGGGGAGCAGCCCTACGTGCACAGACCCCTTTCGAACAGCATGGCTCTAAATGACAAAGAGATATAGAATAGAATAAAAATACTAACTTTGAGTATTAAAATTTGGTAAACCATTCAAAAACAATTTAAAGGTGGGGGAAGAATTTTTCACTAATAATACTGCTTAAAAACAAGGACGTGAAGGATATAAAATCAGGAAATGCAAAATTATATAAATTGTGGTTTATAAAAGATTTAATTTATTTAAAGAGAGAGAGCCCATGTGCGCACATGAGCGGGGCTGGGGTGGGAGAAGGGGAGGGAGAAGGAGACAATTCCTAAGAGAATCCATGCTGAGCGTGGAGCATGACGTAGGGCTCCATCCCATGACCCTGAGATCATGACCTGGGCTAAAACCAAGAGTCGGATGCTTAACCGACTAAGCCACTCAAGCGGCCCTATAAATTGTTTCTGAAAACAGCTTTGAGTTTTGTTATCAAGAATCAAAGGAGGAAAAGACTAATACTACCTTTCTTTAGAACCAGGAACATATAAGTATACCACAGGGTGAGAGGCCCAAAACATACAGCCATATTAATATTAAATATATTTACATTTAAAAATTAAAATAGGTAATGTTAAGAGGCAGCGATTTGCTAACCAAAAAAAAAAAAATTCTAATATATACAACAAAGGTTTAAAGAAGTCATTAAATACAGGGGAGAAAGATTTCTCGTAGTTCTAAAGGTTAACTCACTTTATACGATTCTCAAAAGGGCAAAAGTTCTGGTACTAGAAACAAAAAGTTAGGAAATGGGAGGCAGCACTAATTGTTCCTACTCATCAAAATGTAGCTTCTCCCTTATTTTCAGCCCTATTCTTCAAAGACCTCCCTATGACCTAGATTTTAATGCCAAGTTATTGGCAGCTAAATAGAAAGCAAAACGAGGACAAAATTTTATTGCTGTCATTGCTGGATTTTTCTAACTGTGGGGTGAGTTTAAGGAAAGCAGGAATTTAGAACCTGGGAGATTCGCAAGTTTAATAATATTCTTAGGTTTCTCAAGCCATCAAGGAAGAGAAAGCCACACATCAGGCCAAGTTTTATAAACATTATGCACATTCCTGCTGACTCTGCTCCCCAGTGGATGCCCCCCGTCCCCCCTGCACCGATGTGCAGTGTTTGCAAGGCTACGGGGCTAAAAGTCGGGAGACGCATTTGGATACACAACAGAGTACACAATTAACTATTTCCAGTCTGACCGCCTTGTGTAAAAACGGTGAAGAAATGTGGTTCCTCACACCATCTCACTAGACAATTCCATAGCAATGTTTACCAGAACCTTCTGTAAGATGTGTTTGCTTTCATTATTTGGGTGGAGCACCCAAGCTACCACAATCAGCTTCCAACAATCCGGTTCTCCACAGCCTAAGGACAGATACGGGATTCCTCTGGGTGTGTGCCTTAGCTGAGCACACCCTGGCAAGAGCTGCCTGCTCCCTGTTCCAGACCTTTCCTATCTTCTAGCAAAGCAGTGCAAAAAGGCGCTGTAGTAGCCCCAAATCCAAATCAGAGGCAAGTGTTGAGGAGGCAGCCAAAGGTCCTCTAGCCACGGATAGCTATCCACTCCCCCTGTGCACACCGCTTACCCAGGGAGGCCTTATATCCTGGAACAGAGCAGCCTGAAGACAGGACTCCGGCAAGGGTCTCTCTGATCTTCCGGCCCTCAGTAGGGATGGTAAAGGGCTCTAACTTTTCAAGAAGTTCTCTCCTGTTGGGCCACACATTCATGTGTTCACCCTGTGTAATTTATTTGCTGATTGCCTCCTCTTACTAGAATGGGAGATGCGGGTCTGGCATTCATCGACAAACACGTGATGAATGAATGAAGTGATTCAAGGTATACTCTGTGCAGGTTTTTACTACTGTCAAGATGAAGGATAGTACCCATTCTTTTGATTCTCAAAAACAAGGATTTCAATTGTGACAGGGAAGAAGGAACGGGGGTTTGGTTGATTTTCCAAAGCTACCACTTTGTACTTAAGTGAGCATTTCAATTGTTTCTTGGTTTATTGGGAATAGTTTGGGTGAGTTTTCCACCACAGGACAGTTGAAGCGGATGGAGTGACTGCACGAAACCTGGGTAGTAGAGTCTCTGTCTCACTGCTCTTGAATATGAAAACACAGTGAACATCCATGACAGGGCAAAGGCAAGTCAAAGGGATCTTCATACCAAGGGTGGGGTTCCCAGCACAGGAAGGCGTGGTGCGTTTATAAACACACACTCTGGAAACAGCAAATGTCATACCCTTCTGTGCAAACAAAAGTAGAAAGCTCTCCTTCTACCAGGCTCAGAAAAGTCATGAAAGTTTCTGTGAGAACAGAACAGAAGTACTACTGATTTTAAGTACTTCTCAACCTGTAAGGAGTCTGTTAGAGGATAATTTTCATTACAAGAAAGGAAGGGGGAAAAACACACTTTTTTCAAAAGTAATCTTCCTCTAGGAATAAAATAAGAAAGAATACTTTTCAAAACTTTGTTTTCTTTCTCACTTCCTGAATTAAATTCTTTAATTTCCAACCGTCTTTGACAATATATTAGTAAAAGCAACTCTGTTACATGTGCATTTTGTATCACATGCTGTCTCACATTGTACATATTGTCTCTAATTTTACAGAAAGAAAAAAGAGGCTCAGGGAGCCACTGGGGGTTTGCCAGCATCACACTGATAGGAAGTAGGAGAGACCTACAGTGCGGGGAGGGGGTGGTCCCTGCTCCACATTCTTGCAAATGTTCATAGGACAATCCAAAGCCTTCCTGTTTGCCTCAAAGCACAAGGTTTAGCAGAGGAGGGTACTGAGGCTTACATTTCACTAAGAAAGAAGTGACAATTCCTTATTTTCTCTAAACTATAGCAAAATACCAAACAGGTAATCAACCTTCAGGTCAAGGGTGGAATTAAAAAAAAAAAAAAAAGGTGGAATAAAGGAATAATAAATTAGACTTAGCACACTCCACCTACAGAGGCAGGAAAGAAAATCTGACGGTTCAAGAGTGGAAACAAAACTTTTTGAGTTTTTGTTAAGTAAAATAATCACAACACCCCACACTCCCCAAATGTTTCAGTTAACTGAAGTTTTGCTGAATTAAGAAAAAGAAATTTCATTGTAAGGACTGATACTAACTTTTGGTGAAATGATCTAATTAAATTCTCTAAGTGTTAGCTGGAAGTTGAAAACTAGAGTGGGAAGGAGAAAAAGACCATTAATTGCAAAAATACTTCTATGTATTTTAACTTCATGCATTTATGTAAGTTACAGCATTATAAGTATGTTACTTCAAATTCCTTTTACTTCCTTTTTTTTTTCAGTCAAGTGCATTTGCTTGCACTTAATTATATCATACCAACTTAGCAATGAGGATCTTCATTTGAGCTTTAAATTGGCTCTTCAACCATATTTTCATGCTTGATTAAAAGCATTGGAAGTATACTGAATATTAAAATGCATCAAAGATGGTTCTGCATCATTTATAAAATTAATCATATTACCCAGTACTAAAAACCTATTCATATTTCAAGGATATAATTAATAGGGAGATTTTATACCTCAATTTTCCTCAGTGATCATGCAATAGTTTGGGGTAAGGAGCTGATGAATACGGTGACAGCACCGAATAACATTAGAAGTCGATTTAGTTTTTTGATTAATGAAGTTCTTATTGCTCAGTTATTACCGTATTCAGACACTTGGTTATCCAGTTATCACGCTGGAATGTAAATGTTATTTCCTTAAAGCCACTTGGACCTCACTTTTCATTGTACACAGCGGTAAACACGTCACTGGCTCAGTCATACCCATGGCAACTCAGCTCCAAGGGCCTCCGAGTGACCCCTGTGTCTTGTATAAACATTTTTGGCAGGAGCCTCAGTGGCCGATGCATAAGGATGATCTAATTTTGCAAGCATGTCATTACCAACCTTCAGATATACAACTCCCGGCCAAGTTTTTCCCCTTGTGACTATTTTCCAAGCCCGTGGAAGAAAAGAGCAAGACAGAGTGGGAGCCTTGCCTTGTTATTTCCTATTGGCCCAACCAGATGGCCATGAGTCCAAACCACTCCCTGCCTGGAAGTCCCTGGACCCTTTCTGTTACCACCCCATCCCATTTCCACAGCACCAGTGCTGGACCTCGAGAAGCCCCTGGACTCACTCCTAGCCGCCTGGGGCCCAGAAGCATCCCGAGGGGCTGGACTCACGGAGGGGCTGACTTCACATGAAGGTTTTGAAGAAGACAAGGTTCCCTTCCAGCCACAGACTCCTCCAAGTGGAAAGGAATCCCAACCTCACGGCCACGTTCTCTTTCGCTAGCTTCTCCTCAACCATCTCACCCAGGCACAGCTCAATATAGCTGCTGTCAGCGGGTTTTAAGCAAATCATTTTATTCTGAATACGTTTTTAGATGCAGGACTGAGGGTTTTTTTGTTTGTTTGTTTGTTTTTTTAAATCAGCTCCATGAAGGACATGCTGAACACTACAGGAGACAAAACGAGATATTTTTTCTTCCAGTATTAAAAAGAAAAAGACATTCACAAACATTTTTAAGGAACTCTTCTATATGATCGTGGTGGTGATCTTGAGTAAAAAAACACGTCACAGGATCATATTCCTGATGCAGATTTCTTGTAAAAGTACATCTGAAAATTGCTTCCTAACCACGATAAACATTGAGTACAGGACTTTTTTTTTTTTTTTAAATGTCCCCAGATGCACACATTAATTTTTAAGTCAGTCTGGCCAGACTTTTTTTTGGCCAAAACCAATAATCCTGAGAGCCCAAACTAAAATGCTGGTCACTGAGGAGTTTTTGCAAAGCCTCCTTCTGTCATGACTAGATTCACCTGTGACCCAAGTTCTGTGCTGATCACATCTTGGAGGGCATGGGGCATGGGGCTTGAGGAAATGTGGACCCCATTTATTAAAGGATGCAGTTGCTAGAAGGGTGTTTACCCCACTTACTGACCGAGGCTTTGAGAAAAGTCTGTTTGCCAAATGCCTGTCAAGTGATGAGTAACTTTAAGGAGCAACACAACACATAGTCATGTTACTGGCACTGGGAATAAAGAAGAGGGGCTCCATTCTGGAAAACTTACCACTGACACGGGGTCCATGGCCTCTTGCTTGACAGGGACTGGGTCAAACATGAGCATTCTTTTAGTTCGGCTTTCTAGGGTGCTCTGGTGTTTGGCCTAGAAAACAAAACAAGGGGTCCAAATGAATCCCAAGGTTACTTTAAATATAAACTAGTAAAAAATAAAACATAATATTCCTCAAATCCCTCCTCTGCTCCTTCTTCTCCCCTGGCCCCAGAATGGCTGGAATTTATTTTCCTTACCTATGAAACATGCCATTTGATAGAATTAAAACCAGATGCCATGGTCCTAAGTCGATGAGAGCCAACTGGCATTTCTAACTCAAATACATAAACCTTGACATTTCTGGAACAATATGTACGGCCTCTTCTGAGCAGCCAAGCTTGCTTAAGAGTGCTGTGCAATTCACCAGAAGTTCACATGATATATGAGTGTTAAACATTTTTCCTTATGTTCATTACAGAAAAAAATCAAGAAAAAACAAGACAGGCAAAAAGAAAATCTAGAACCAACCACCATTCATATCTTTGTCTTTATCCTTCCAAACTGTTTTAAAATGGATTATAGCACACATACTATTTAGTACCCATAATTTCACTTGACAATTGATTGTGAAAATGTTTCTTTTTCAGCAAGTATGGTTCCATACCATCGAATTCAGTGTGCCACTGTGCGGAACGGATCAGTTTATTTAAAGTACCCCTTTTTACTGGGCACTGAGGTTGCTTCTAAATTTTCACCATTATGGATGGCAGTGAGCATCTTTGGACTTAGGTCCTCCTGCACATCCTTAATTCATTTTTAGGGTTAATCTTACGTAGGGGAATCCTTGGGTGAGAAGCATGCACGTTTTCCAAAGCAGCTGATGCATCATCCAGCAAAAATGCTCTATTTTTAGAGCATTCTATTATTTCCGTGAATAAAATAAGAACCCATTTCTCAACACGTCCACCTGCAATGTGTATTACCACTTAAAAAAAAAACAAACTGTTTGCTAGTTTCAAAATGGCAAACTATTTTTATTCTAAATTGATTTAATTATTAAAGTCAATTTTTTTCCATCTTTATTTACCATTTGCTTGTCTCCTCTAGAGAAATGCCTATATTAGGGCCTTGCACCCCTCCCCAGAGGCTGCCCATTGTTTTCTAAGCACTTTTTATATATGAAGACTATTAGTTTGTATTCACTCCAAGTCTTCATTAGGAAATAAGCGAATCTTCAGCCTAATGTAAAGGAAATGTCCATCTTAATCCTGTTTGGCCTCTCTCTTCTCCTGTTGTTACGCTAGTGTTATCCTTCCCTTTCCTTCAGTGTTCTGGACTAGTTCACTTCCGGCACTTATCTACATCAAGCCAACTGCTTCCCCACAAGACAAAATATTCAGTCTGCTCAACATTCAGCTGCATTTCATAGGCTTTGGAATCACTGCCCAGCTAGTACCCAGATCTTCAACAACCTGCTTTAGGCACCTACTACCCAAATTCGTCTTAAGGGTTCACAGAGCTTTGGTTGGAGGCAAGGTCTCTTCTGCACCACTCTGTTTTAGGTGGGAAAGTGAACAAGTTCCAGACTGCATTCTACCCAAAAAAGCTGCAGAAGTCTCTGGTTCCAGGTTCCCTCCTGTATTTCAGTATGACAACTCCCCAGCCCCAGCCCCACCTCCACGACCGCAGTCCTGCAGTTTGCTGTATCCATGCTCTGTGGGCTATACTAGGAAAGCTTCCCGTACAATTATAAAAACAATACTGTGTCATTCTTGTGCTCCCTTGCTCCGCTGAAGGAAGACTGTTCTGGGTCTCATGACAACACGTGAGTATCATCATTAACTCAACATAAGGCTCTAACTTCGAATTTTATTTTCCTACATCACAGTATGTATTATAATCTGTGAACACAATTTAATACCAGGCTGCTCAAATCAATGGTGCTAATACCCTCTTATGCATGCCAGCAAAAACAAACCCCAACAGCCAGTGAAAAATGGATGATTTCATAATGAAGGATGAAAACCCCTTTTGTGTCTTAGGATCTATTATTAACCAGTTCCCAGCCTAGCAGCTGCAGAGATGGATATGGTTCTAAGAACTGCTGCCCAGTGCCTCCTAGCAGACTGTAAACAAGATGTGAGGCCTCCTGCTTTCATCAATGAGGTCAGGTAATTCAGTAGCCCTCACCCTTGGCTGGCCACCCCTCCCCCAAGCCTTTTAAATTGAATTTAATGGCCACCCCTCCCCCAAGCCTTTTAAATTGAATTTACTCTTACAGATTCATTCACTCTACTGGAGTGTATCTTGATGCAAATCCTTCTAAATGAAAGCAGTCCTATTATCAGGTGCATAATGAAAGGGTCCAGGTCTGGAGACTCAAGCAGGAGATCTGCATCCTCGCTATGAAATTGAAAGCAAAGCAAAACTCTTTGCCACAAATACATACACAATTTTTAGACATACATACTGTATTCACGTAAATTTGTCAGGTCCAACTTCTGGAGCAACGTCAAGTATCTGCCTCTTTGCTAACATACCTAGCCTTAGAGGTCAGTCCCCTCTGCCGTTTTAAAAAACTCAGACCTGGGGCGTCTGGGTGGCTCAGCCGGTTAAGCGTCTGCCTTCAGCTCAGGTCATGATCCAAGAGCCCTGGGATCGAGCTCCCGCATCGGGCTCCCTGCTCAGCAGGGAGCTTGCTTCTCCCTCTGCCTGCTGCTCCCCCTGCTTGTGCTCTCTCTCTCTGACAAATAAATAAAATCTAAAAAAAACAAAACAAAACAACAAAACCCTCAGACCGAATTGTTTAAAAGTGACTAGCAGCCTACATCCTGCCGGAGACCTCACCTAGAGCCTCGTCACTTCCCAACTGCACCAGGGCACTAGCTTCCCAGCATGTGTATGCCTCACGGTAGGTACCTCACCCCCCTCACTACCAGTAAGAGTGCACAGTTTAGCACGGGCTCTGGTTCAAACTCTAACTCCACCATTTAGCTCATAAAGCCTTTAATGACTTTTCCTAATACCCACAGCAGTGACTACTAAATGCGTTTAGAAATGAATGACGCGTTAACCTACTACATCTCTTCTCATTTTAAGACATTATTTAAATCCCTTGCATTCTTTAATGTTTATGTTTTATCTAAATTTAAGGAACTTCATGCTTCACAAGACTTGAAATCGTAAGAGAAAAAGTAAAGTCTAATATGGAGCATCTGCCCTAATAAAACTTGATTTATGTGTATTAAAAAAATAATTGTAAAGGTATGTTTATGTGTTCAGAATGGTACCTCAAGAGTAACCCAATCACTGGTGAAGGGGTATTTCTCATCATAGAAGGATTTCAGCTAGTGAGTGAAAAGGGAGTGGTAGAATTAGACTATCTCATTTCAAAACTCCTAAACAAGGCATCACTGGACAATCAAAGACTGCACAAAAGTCGAATATCACTATGAACAGAACCAAACTCACTCACTGTCCATTCGCATGTCGAACAGTACTCTGTTCCTAATTTGGTCGCTTCTAAAATGACTGATCATACTTTGTGTCGTCACGGGATATGGAACAAGAGAAGGTGAAGGACATGCAAAGAAAACTGTACGCTCTCAGCTGTTAATAAGACGAGGTGGGACAGCTTTACACACATCTGTGTGCCAATTTTTAAATGTATTAACTATATTTTAACGTTCATTAACAAGGGAGAGAAGCTAAGCTAGAAAGAAACCAAATTTAGGAAGAGAATAGAACACATTAACACAAATCGGGCATTTGTTTGTTTATTTGCAGAAAGAATCTATACTCTTTAACTACTGAGCCTATCTCTGAAGAGACCACTTTCCCTACTGGTATTGACCTTGGCTTTGGGTTTTGGTCTAGAGTCGGAAGAGTGACTGCAATGTCTCCAAGGTGCCTTCCATAAAACTCATGTACTGAAAGAATGAGAACTCAGTGGCTTTTGTTACACATGGGCCACTCATGCTCTGGGGATACTGCCATCCTTTGAAAAGAATGCTCAATAAAATACAAAGGCTGAGGAAATCTAGTACACAACACTGACCGCAGTCTTAAGTAGAACCAGTAGGTGGAGCACTACAACAGGTATTAGAGGCTAGGGACACAGGCAGTAAATTGAGTTTGCCAACCTCAGGGTCTTTAAACCTAGTGGGTTTTAAGCAGGCCCAGGAATTCTGTTAACCATTTTGTGTGGGTATCACAGAGATGAGGAGACCCCAAATGTGGTTGTTTTTTCCAAACAACTATTTTCGAATCATTAATACATTTACATCTTAGTTGTACTGAACTTGCCAGAATTTTCCATAACGGGAACAAATGTCATCTTCTCTGTGTTATTTTGCTGGGAAGGGTGAGACGACTGAATTTTTCCTCCAAAAGAAGAAACACATTTCCCTTCACTCTCTCTCCTTACACTTCTGACTTTTCAGAAGTCAAAATACAGGTCAGATTTTTTTTTTTTTTTTTGCCAAAATGCAAAAAACGTGATTTATGTATTTAAAGCTTTGGTGAATCATTTACATAGTTTCAGAAGCAATATAGTTCCATCTCACAATCATATCCAGTCCACCCTGAGGCCTACTCAACAGTCACTTTATGAGGGTACAAATGAGCCGCAGAGCTCAGAAATAAACACAGTCCTTAATGTAAGAGGCTATGATGTCACCAAACCTCCTTTGAAAGTAGCTTGACTTGAAGTGAGAGCAAGTTTTATTATAGAAACAATCTTATAAATGATTGTCCCTTCCTTAGAAGCATGACAGACACACACACACAGAGAATGTGTGTGTCTGAAGCAAAGTTTCTTGTGATACGGCAGGAGTTGCTTCTGAGGTTCTCCCTTCTTGGGCACTTTCCATCTCTTTCTCTCCTCAGATCCTCAAAGGGTCCCTGTGCTATCCTCCCCCAACCCAGCCTGAGCCTGAGCCTCCAAATTACCTGCCACCCTCCGAGCAGTCTTTGTCTCCCAGCTGACCTCTGCAAGGTGTAAGGAGAAAAACAGTATGACCAAAGCAAGACACCATCTGCAAGTGCCCTTAATTTTCCCAAGGGTTTGGATGTTAAAAGAGGAAGTGTACTGCCTTCCCCCACCCTTTACTCCCCAAAGGAACTGCAGGGGAAAAAGAAAAAAAGAAAAAAAAAATTTTAATTGTGTGTGTGTTATGTGTGTAATTCTTGTGTCAGGAGAAGGACCAGGGCAGGCAAGCAGGCCACATCCCTGCAGCTAAACTTTCTTTCAAAAGAAACACTTCTTCACGTCTGTACCCAAACTCCTTAAGAGCTCCAGAGGAGTCAAATATTTCATGGCAGCTGGCCTGGCCAGAAACACAGGGGCGCCAGGCAACAGATGTGGGAAAAGGCATGTTTAGGTTGGGGGCTCCTTTCAGGACAGCCAGATGCTGGCCCCTACCTGGAAATGTGCCCCAGTTTTCCCATCACAGGATGATTTTCACCTACCTTTGTCTCCTAGTGTTGGTTTGAGAGGAAAAAATTCCACGGAGTAGTTCTAAATCTTTGCCCCTCACAAATTAGATTAGCCATTTTGCATCAAAATGTTTTGTAAATGGGAAAGAAGTTAATTATTTAGTTTTAGATTAAATATAATGATCCGACGAGCAAACAATCCGCCCTCTCTCCTCTCTCTGCTAACAAGCCACCCAATTTTACTTTCTGCCTCCACCCATCTGCTCCACCCTGTGGAGAGTTGCCAAGGCGAGTCCAACTTGTCCAAACAGGACATGGCTTCAGATAAGATTCTGCCCACACCCTGTACTTCGGAAAAGACCAAGTGAAGCAATTGATTTTGCATGTAAATAGGGACAGGTGCAAAGGTAACAACCAAGCAAAATCCCTACACAGTTGCAGACTGAGAGGGGCCCGGCTCAGCAGGGGGGTGGGGGTGGGGAAACCCGAACCCATATCCTTCAGGTAAACTCTCAAGTTCAATGCCACCTGGCTAGTAGCATTCCACACCTTTCTTAAAGAAATTTTTCGCAAATGCAAATCATTTCGCCTCCTAAGATTACACACTTGTTTTCCTTCTTTATGCTCTCTGACAATTTGTGGTGTTTTAGTTTTAAGGGCCAGCAACCCAAGATCAACTGAGAAAAACAAAAAACAAACAAACAAACCCCACCGCCCATACTGTGTAATAATCCTGCTGTGTCCTACAAGGCCGGTCACAGCCCTCACGCTTCTCTTCTGCGAAGCATTATATAATCCAATCCAGAAGGGCTGCGTGAGGCCGCAGTGCCTCGCCTCTGCCTCGGTGCTGGGGCCCTATCACTGGAGACCCACCCCGCTCTACCCCAAGGGGCCTCCACCCATGGGGCCCCACCCTGGAGGGAGTGGGAGGCAGGGAGGGACCGACCAACTGGCTCCGGTCAGCAGCCAGTTCCTGGAAATTCCGGCCTGAGCAGGGATGGCTGGAACCTTAAAAATAACCAGAAAGAGGGGCGCCTGAGTGGCTCAGATGGTTAAGCGTCTGCCTTGGGCTCAGGTCATGATCCCAGGGTCCTGGGATCGGGGACCCACATCGGGCTCCTGGCTCAGCGGGGAGTCTGCTTCTCCCTCTCCCTCTGTCTCTCCCCCTGCTCGTGCTCTCTCTGTATCTGTCTCAAATGAATAAACAAAAATCTTAAAAAAAAAAAAAATAACCAGAAAGAATCGTTAGGGTGGTAGTAATGCCCTTGGCTCCCGAGGGTTCTCCATGAAAAGTTTACCTCACAGAGCCACCGGACCTCTGGATATGAAACCGTGAGCTAATACTGCCCCCTCCCTTCAAAAGTACACAAAAGGGAAAGAGGAGAGCATTTTGAGCCCCTGCTATGTGAGAGAATTAATTCAACATGTCCCCAACCCAACTCCTCCTTCTCCTTGCTCCTGCCTCAAAAAGCCTGCCTGCCTGCCGGCCCCCACCTCCCCATTTGCCTTATGAGCTGGTCGTTCACCATGGAAACCTAGAGGTCATCTTGCAAGTCTTCCTCAGCGACTTTTCCCTCCATTCCCGCTCTGTGACTGGGTATCTCCCTCTGCTCGTCTCCCACCATGTCCCTTGGTCCCTCCAATTCATCCTGACCCCCTGGCCACCGACATTTCTCAAAGCCCTCTCCTCCTTAGTCTTGCCCAAGCTCACAAGCCTTCCTCCGAAGGGATCCCCAGGGCTTGCAGAGTGGGTTCAAGCGCCCATGCTCCACACCCCGTTTCTAACCGGCTGCCCCCTGCTCCAAGCGCCCTTCACGCTGGCTGCCCTGTTCCCTCCACCCCCATGCCTTTGTTCATTTTTGGCCCTGATGCTGGGCAACCAGCGTGGAATGCCCCATCCCCTTCCGGCTTATCTAAATCCTCCTAATTCTTCAAAGACCAGCTCAAGGCCCTCTCCACCCTGTGCAGCCAGCTGATTGCGCCCCAGTTGATCGGAGGCCACCCCTTCTTACCTAGATGGGCGGGGCCTTTTAGATGGTTGTCTCAGACCACCACCTGGGTTGGGAGCACCTGAAGGACAGGGGCGCCTTACATTTCCTTAGGGGAGCAGAGAGGGCCCCCTCCCAACTCCCCAAAGGAGGTCAGCCTTGCTCACTAGATGCCGTTTTCCAGCAGGCAGAAGGAGGGGCTCAAAGAGCACTCAGCCCATCCTAGGACTTCCACAGCCTCTCCTTTTCCTTTGGCCTTTGAAGACACTTGAAATCTCCCCTAAATAAGTAATAGGGGTGAGGGGGCCTAACCTTAAAGGAAACTTTTTAAACCAAACTTCCTTAAAAAAAGTTATTGCTCCTAACCTTAACCTTGCCTGTTATGGGTCCTCCAGAGACCTTATTAGTATCCTCCTCCAAGAATTTTTTTTTAGCTACCCAGAGAGATCTTCTAAACAAATCTAGTGTTAAAGCAGTACCCTCTGCTTTAAAACCTACAATAGAAGGGGGGGAAAAAGCAAAAGAAGAGGCAATTTTGCATGAGGAGAGACAGAAATGAGTGTGTGTGTGTGTGTGTGTGCAGGTATTCTTTTTTAAAGGATACTTTTATGGACCAAGGAAAGCAAGGGGCTAGGTGATGTCACAGGTTTCCTACTAATCACGACACCTTCACGACCAAGGTGCTGTTCTTCACATGGACTGCATCACTGAATCGGGTGGGTGGGTACTACTTTCCTATTACTTTGACAATGATGGCACAGAGAGGTAAAGCAATCTGCCCAAGATCACACAGCTGCCAAGTTGTAAAGCTGGGTTTTTGAACCCAAAGTAGTTGGACTTCAAAACTGGTGGACCTGGCACCCTCCTCTGCTCCCTTCCCAGGCAGAGAACAACATGACACCACCAACCGCGACAGGGGGCTAGCACTTCTGCAGATGCAATCTGTCCACAGGGGATGTGGAAGGCAGGCACAGAGTATTTACAATTTCACCTCCTCCCAACTGGCCCCTGCTGCCTGCCCGGTCTCAGAGTGTGCATGCTGGACGCAAGATCAGAAAGACACACTCTGAAGGCCCCAAATTAGGCTATTATTCTTCCTAGCCAATGCACCTGCAATTGGTCCATAAAACTACTCAGAAAAAAGAACAAAAAAAACAACAAAAAACCTGGCAGCTTTACCCGAGTAAATACGGAAATCCTCATAATACTGTACAAAGGTGGAAGGGTCAGGTCCTCATCCCCATTTTAGAAGTGAGGAAATGGAGGACCAGAGGTGAAATGACTTGCCCAAATTCACAGAGCAGGCTGGAGCCACAGTCAAGAACAGAAGTAAGTCTGCCGGCAGACCCAGGGGTCTTTCTGTTCTGCTTCGGGTTCTGTGCCGTGGCCAAGTCCTCTCAAACTGGGACCACTCCCCGGGTACAGAGGGGATGGGACATGCTCGGTGCCGGCCAGCCCGTGTGAGGCAGTGCCCTGGGGAGGTTCCAGAGGGTAATTAAGATTTCAGGTGATATCACTCGGGACCTACTCCATCCTGTGGCATAACTAATAATAAGGACTGCACATAATTTGAGATTAGCTCTAATGAGTAGGTGCTCAATAAGTACTTGGGAGATGAATAAATGAATGGATGTCAAACTACCCTTCTTACACATGAGGATACAAAGAAGGGCAAGGGCCTCACAATGATTGTGTGACAGGTGTCACTCAAGGAAACCTTGCCCAGAGGCCAGTGAAGCTAGCCTGAAAATCATCTAAGTCTCAAACACAAAGTAAACGCAAACACTCTGGGAGGCTCGGGAGAGAAAAGCTCCCTTGTTTGGAGAATGGAGCGGAACAGGAACTTGAACTTGCTAAGGAAAGTAGTTTTGGGGTGCAAAGCTTTGGAAGGTATGAGTATAAAAGCACAAGAACAGATAGAGGAGTGGATTTCAGTGATTAGACTCAAGCACAGTAGTTAGTAGACAGAAGGTGTACATGCCAGAGGAGAAAAAACCCCACAGTTCATTCACAGGTCGCTCTCCAGGGTAGAATGCGCTGACCTCAATGTCCACTTGGTCTCTTATGTCTAGATTTGGCGAAACTCCACTGATCCGGATTGAGACTAGCCCCAGGTCATCCCTGGAGATCCCCAGGCCTGCCAGAGATTGGTAACCACCTTAAGCAGGTCCCAGGCTAAGCTGGGCTCTCTTGTGTCCTCTGGTCAGGGGGTTGCCTCAGGAAGCACCCCCTTCCTAAAAGTCAGGGTAGGGGCTAGACCCAGGTTTGTTCAGAATGCACGGGATGAAGGGCCACTTAACGTGCTACATTTTGTCTCCAGCTCCCCTTAATAATTGGATGGAGGAAATGATAATGTATTCAGCCTGCCAACACAATAGAGTGAGTTTCAAAAAGCTCCAGGAACCTGTTTTGCTAGAAAATGAACTTGACTACTAAAAACCCTGACAAGGGATACAAAATATACTGATTTTAATTTTTTTAAAAAATGTTTCATTGAACTATGGTGACATTCCAGAAAAAGCACAGATCCAATTAAAAGGATATTTTTGCTTTGGGAGGAAACAGTCCTAGTTCTGGTGCAGAACTGTGTCTACAGCACTGTGTCTCTTTTTCATTACGACCAAATTTCAAGGAAGGAGAGTTGAGGGGGAGAAAAAGCAGGGCTACCTCCTTTAGACAATGCTCTCCCTTATCAAGGCAGACTGCTGTCTGGTTTCCTGTCTCAAGCTCTGGCATTACTGCTTCAGATGAGAACCGGGGTCTAAGAAAGGGACAGATCAGGCTTGAAAATGAGAATACTAAAAACCACCACAATCCTCTTGCAACTCACTCCAAGATGAATTTTGACTAGAACATTACACATTAGCAAATCAGGTATCAATTGCTTTATGAATCTAGAGATTTTTTTTAAAAGCTAGAACCAATGAATATGAAGCATTTCAGAAAGAAACCCAATTTCCAGAATAATGTAATTCCTAGTCTTTAAAGGATGAGGTTGCTTGTATTTTTTTTTTTCTTAAAACACAACTGGTGTGAAAAAACAGAGTAAGAAATACCACCTAAGAAAGCTGTTCATTATAGCAAGAATGTTGACTTGGAAGTATTAAGACAAGTATGTAAAGGGGGGGTAGAAATAAAATGGGATTAAATTAGGAATAATGACTTGCATGGTCAAGAGATGAAACTATTATTCCCATTTTTTTCCCCTTTTGTAATTTAGTAACTATCAGACTGGTATAATTTTCCCAAGTTGTTCAGCTTAGCTTTTAAAGGTTTGAAAAGCTTTTTTTTCTGATAAAATACATCAGACCCTAATCATGTCTATTAGCCAACCACGTCCCTCTCCCCCAAAATGGGGAAGAAAGAATAACTTGGAGTAAGCTAAACAAAGATTTTGTCTACAAAATCTAGTTGGATTGTTAACAGCTTTGGAACTAAAATTGAAAAAGTTGCTTGATTTGGGTTACTTACGAATTTTAGTTTAAAGGTCCCTTGCGCTCTAAATCAGTTTAATATTTCAAGTTTTCTTCTCCCAAAGTTTTCTTACTGAAAGCTTCCAAAGCATCCATCTTTTTTCAAGGAAAGTTATCAGTAACCTTCTATTTGATTCTAGTAGTTTTCTTAATATCATACCATATATTTCCCTTTATCCATAAAGAAAGAATGTGGTAGAATGTGAAGTTAAAAACCAAAGTACGAGTATCATCAATTTTGGGGAGGATAGGATCTGATTTGCTGCCTCGGCAACTCTGAATTAATTCCATTAGAGAACACTGTAGATAATTCCTTCGGATTTTAAGGAAAATCCA